AAGTGCTTTATTTTTTCGGATGCAGTGGTCTCATGTGTTAGCCATTCAATTTGTCCCTTGGTTAAGGCGACAGTCGGGAATGTTTCCTTTTCTTGTCTGGTTGATTCCGGTGCAGGCTGCTCACTAGTTAAGCAACAGCTCTTTACTGCTTTTCAGACTAAAGTTAAGTATCGAGGGAAACCCGGATAGCGCCTCTGCACGGCCACTGGCGCCGGGCTTGAGCACGACGGGTTGGTCGAATTTTCATTGCAACTTAGTGGTCAAATGTTTTCGCATTCTTTTTTGGTGTCTCCGGACATCACTTGGGACTGTATCTTGGGTGTCGATTTCCTGAATAAGTTCCGGTGCGCACTTGATTTTGGCAAACAATTATTCAGTACTACTCTAGTAAATGTACCCTTTCTCACCCACGTGCCGCCGGCATCAGATCTTTGTTCTACGTCTGTTGCGGTCGCCAACATTAAGGACCTTTTGCCTTCCAGTTTAGACGCTAACAGTCTTACGCAACTACAACATCTGCTTACAGAATTTAAAGATATTTTTTGATTGGGACGGCAAGTCAACAGGCCGGACCAGTGTTACTCAACACTGTATTGACACTGGGGACGCCAAACCTATTAGGATCCCTCCTAGACGTCTCCCCATTTTCTATCAGAAGGAATTGGATGCCCTCATTAGCGATATGCTCAGTCGAAAAATTATTCGACCGTCTCATTCGCCGTGGTCGTCACCGATAATGCTCGTGCGGAAGAAGGACGGCACGATGCGCCTATGTGTTGATTACAGAAAACTGAATGCTGTGACGAAAAAGGACTCGTTTCTCTTGCCCCGGTTCGATGCTACCTTAGACACACTTGCGGGTAATACCGTCTTCTCAACCCTCGACCTAGCCTCGGGCTACTGGCAGGTAAGGGTTCGACCCACTGATAGGGAGAAGACTGCGTTTGCTGTACCGTCAGGTCTCTACGAGTTTGAGACAATGCCGTTTGGACTAGCTAATGCCCCTAGTACCTTTCAGAGGCTTATGAATCAGGTACTCTCTCAGCTGATTCCCAACTCGCGTCTAGTTTACATGGACGATATCATTGTCCTTGGGAAGGACTTCGAGAACCATCTGGCCAACCTTCGATCTGTATTCCTCAGTCTCAAGCAAGCCGATCTAACTCTTAAACCTTCAAAGTGCGTCTTCATTAGACCGCGCGTTAAATTCTTAGGACATGTAGTTTCAGCCACAGGAGTAGAAACCGATGTGGACAAAGTCAGAGAGATCCGCGAATGGCCGACCCCTTCGGATGTGACAGAGGTTCGCAGTTTCTTAGGTCTGGCGTCGTACTATCGACGTTTCATAAAAGATTATGCCAACATTGCCGCCCCTCTTCACCGTCTGACTCAGAAGGAGAACAAGTTCAAGTGGACGGCTGAATGTGATGGTAGCTTTCAGTTGCTGAAGGATAGTTTGTGCAGTAGCCCTGTCCTGGTTTTTCCCGACATCAGCGAAGGTGCAGGCAAATTTATCTTAGATACTGACGCCAGCGACACGGCCATAGGCGCCGTTCTGTCCCAGCAACAATGTGACGGCACCAAACGTGTCATTCAGTACCTTAGTCGTACACTTACCAAAGCCGAGCGACGCTATTGTGTCACCCGCAAAGAGATGCTAGCACTTACTCATTTTGTTGAGGAGTGTCGACCTTATCTCCATTACCGACCATTCATAGTACGTACCGATCACAGCTCTCTGACTTGGTTAAGAAATTTTAAGAATCCTGAAGGACAAGTAGCTCGCTGGCAAGAGAAGCTGGCGGAGTTCGATTTCGAATGCCTCTTCCGACCGGGTCGTCAGCATGGGAATGCAGATGCCCTATCAAGGAAACCTTATCGACCACACGGGGAATGCCGGTCTTGCACGGACATCGCCATATCCGCAATCGCTTTACAAAGCGATCAGTGCCTACTCTGGGCCGCAGCCCAACGCGATGACCCACATATCTGCCCCATATATGATAGGAAAGTTAGTAACGCCAGGCCTCTCAGTAAGGCTGAACTAGCGGGTCACAGTTATGAGACGCGGTGCCTGCATAGCCTTTGGGACAAATTGTTCATCGAGAATGGCGTTCTATTCTATCGCGACAACGAACAATACCCAAGGCGAGTCGTCCTACCGCTTTCGATGGTGGACGACGTGGTCAAAAGGATGCATGCGGAACTAGGGCATTCCGGCATCCATAAGACCGAGTGGGCCCTTCGCCGGCGTTACTACTGGCCAAATCAGAAGACCGACATACAGAACGTTGTCCGGTCTTGTGAGCGGTGTTTAGGCTTTAAGTCCCCCGGGCAATCCTATAGAGCCCCGCTACAACCAATTCAGACTGGCTACCCCAACGAAAGGGTAGCGGTAGACCTAGTTGGCCCGATCGCGCCATCCGCGAGGGGAAATAGGTTTATTCTCGTCATGGTAGACTGTTTCACCAAGATGGCTGAGGCAGTACCCCTACCAGATGCGTCTGCCCCCACAGTAGCCCGAGCCATCTTCAACGGGTGGATCTGCCGCTGGGGAGCCCCGGACCAACTCCACTCAGACCGAGGCTCGTCGTTCGAGAGCAGCGTCGTACAAGAGTTGTGTAAGGTTATGAAAATTAAGAAAACACGCACTACTGCGTACCACCCACAAGGCAACGGCCAGGTGGAAAGGACGAACCGGACGCTGATCAATCTGTTGCGGGCTTTTGTCGACCGGAATTCAGCATCCACATGGGACGAGGCCTTGCCAGCGTGCATGTTGGCTTACCGATCCACGGTAAACGCCACTACGCAACACACGCCATTTTTCCTAACGTGCGGGAGGGAGATGCAACTCCCGGAGGATCTCCACCTACCCCCTACACACCCCGTAGAGACCGTTGACACGTACGCCTCAAGAATGCGTAAGACCCTGCGTATAGCATCGGAGGAAGCGCGACTGCATCTCCAAGAAGGTCAGCGCCGTCAGAAGGCATTCTATGACCGCCTAGCACACGGGACCCCATATCAAGAGGGCGACATCGTGTGGATGCGGAATTTCGCACCGTCGCCGGGTGTGCCTCAGAAATTTAATCCAGCATGGGTAGGTCCGTACGTGGTTAGAAAGGTCCTCTCCGACACGACTTGTGTCGTTCGCAGCCAAGACAGACCGTACTCGGAAGAATTTACGGTACACTTTAATCGCCTAAAGCCAGGTTCACCGACAGAGGAGGACTCAGGCCATGCCGATTCAGAGGCCGGCCCGTCCCACGCATACAACTACCAGCTAGTCGACCAGTATTTAGAGGTTCCCCCGGAGGGTGGATACGCTTCGGCTGAGGTACTCAGAGATGGACACCCCGTAGAGAAGACTGTCGAAGTGCTGCCAGACGGTGGACCCGCTGTCGCACTAGACGATTCTGCTGAGGACAGCAGACCCTTTTCGCAGGGGGGAGCAATGTAGGAAACTCTAGAATGCCAGACCACGTGCGGCGGCCATCTTGGAGAAGGTTCTAGAAAGCGCGCCCCGTAAGGGGCGCGCCCGCCGAACTTTCCTATATTTATACGCTAGGCTGTTAGTCGCAATTTGGCTTCTTACAAAAAGTATGCATATAATTAATTATTATAGCCCTAAATTTAACCAAAATAGCCCTGGTCTAAGTTTGTTTAACTTTCCATCCCCAACCTACCCTTAACCAATCAACGATGGCGACCCTAACCTTGATGACTTCCGCCCTGGAAAAGCTATAAATACGGGCGAGGATTAACCTCCGGGAACCCCGTGGCCGGCCGCCAACCTTCGGACGTGGGACCTCCGTCGCTGTCTCCGTTGGATCCCTGTGCCTCCGCCAATCCCGCTGGACAATCTCTCCTTGCCCCAGTCTATTTTTGTAATTAGGTTTCCCTCCTTTAGTTTCTTATTGTACATAGGCGTTCAAGTACATAGGAGTTGCCAAAGCCTTACTTCCTTGGGCCGTCTCTCGTACTGATATCTGGGCTCGTTACACCTGTCCTAATAGCGGGAGAATTCTTGTAGGGTCGACGGCGCCAACGTGTCCCCTATTGGTCTTCAACACCTGTTCAGTGATTAGTTTCCGCCGCTGTCTTAGATTATTCCTGGCTCACTTTAATGGTGTTGGTTCTTAGAGATACAAATGGGTGGATTTACGCGAATTTCCAACTTTGTCAGCGCTTTAGTTATTGTAGGGGTGAAGGTTGGTAGTTAACATAGGGGTTAGTGGCAGGGGTAGGGTTAGATATGTTACTGGAAGGGTAAGGTATAGCCTTTGGTAACTGATGGGCTTGTGATGGAAATGCATTATCACCTATTCCCTGACCTTAGTTAATTCCCTTGACTTGATATAAACTTGTTGTAGGAACGGAGGAACTAATACTGTGGTGGGTTATAAAAGAGGATGCCCAATGCACTTCCTGTTTTCCGAAGTATGCACAGTTGGCTTTTCTGAAATGTTTGCTCGTGTGTTATTTATCTTCGCATGAACACTTCATTGTCTCGCTACATTCCCACTTTCCGTCTTCAAATAAACGCTTCTGGTAAAGATACCTTCTGTTTTGGTACGGTGCCTTGTCAGCTAGCTCGCTTCAAATCTGTTGACTACGGTTTTCAACATGACTCACCAGCAACCATCTTCTGAACCAACCCGCCAGCTTTGTCGCGTCCGTCTGTCGGTTCTGGAGAGAAGGCCGTCGAGGCCGTTCACGCTTCCATTGTTAACGCCCGGTGATAATCTTGATATCTGGCACTCTTAAGCGAGTGTCCACTTGGCCTCAATCACCGCCGAGGACCGCACCCAAAATATCGTCCACCATTTGTCCAGGAAGGTGCCGACAAAGGCTTCTGCTTTCGGAGTGCTGTTTTGCGCCGATGGCGAGTCCCAGTTTGCGTCCCTCCGCCGCCTCTTTGCGCTCCCAAAGCCCCCTGTGCACGTTTACAGGCAATTGTCGTCCCACCTGCAGCTCCCTTGTGAAAACGCTAGGGATTACGTGAGGAAACTTCGTCCCCCTATTCTCGCAGCTATCCCCGACCAACATTCAACTGTTGCTGATATCGTTCTGACCAAGAATTTCCGCGCTGGGTTGTAAGATAATAACCTTCGGTGGAAGTTACTAAAG